GGTTGTACGAGCTGCCTTCGTTTGCCGAGAAGGGGAGGATGTATGCGAAAGGAGAGGTGAGGAGCATCAAGGGGGGACCTGGAGGGCTGGTTTTCACTGGAGATGCTACAGGTCTAGTGACTGTGTGGAAGCTGGCAGCTGCAGGAGCAACAAGTGGAGCAGCCATGGCAGAGTGAATCCTTTGCCTTTGTAGTTCGTAGGATTTGAGATACCAGATCTCTTTTTGTTTATATTAATCCAGGCTGCATCAAGATTTTGCATGCATTGGTGCAGCTTGTTAGTGAGGCAAAACCAACACCTAAAAGATCAATGTGGGTTGTTGATTCTTGTGAATTCGACTTGTATAATATATACAGATTCATATATATATATATGCGCAATGAAAGATGAAAGTACCGTTGACGTTATGTTCTTTTTATTCCCTCCTCTTTGTCAATGCATTTTGGGCCGCATAGGTGCCGTCGGGCCTGGGGGTTTTATGGGCCGAAACCCAAGATGGTTCCTGCAACTCCGGCCTTTCTATGGCGTTTCGCCATGATTTTCAACAAACGATTTTCGCGTTGTGATAATTACAGCAATTAAAAGTCTAATGATTGATTGATATTGTTATATTTTACTGGATTAATGGTGTCAGTTGTCATTAGATTTTAAGGAGATTAGATTTATGAAAGGGAAAGAGAGAAAGAAGAATATATGGCTCGCTAAAAGTGATTAAGTGAGAGAGAGGGAGGCAGAGGATGGGCCACCATGGCCCACTATCTTTGTTGTCTCAGTGGATCGTGACTGTGACATCAACAGGCCCATCTTCATTATTATCTCCAAACAATGACTTATGGACACACTCAATCTGTATGTGTATATATTAAATATTGAAAAAGAAATTATTAAAACAAGAAAATAATTTTTCATATCAAGATGAGATCCTGCAACTCTCTTTGCTTATTGAGATTCTGTGTTACTTCCTCATCATAGCTTTTATTTTCTTTTATTATCAATAGGGCCGAGTATGTGAGTGGGTAATCTGTGACTTCATGTTGGTGGATCGTTAATTGGAATCTTCCTGTTCATATCTATACGCGTGTTGGTGGATGGATTGTGAGATAGCTGAATGACTCGCACCATATATTTCACATGATAAATCTCTTTTTTGGTTTACAAGAATGATATAGATTTTTACTTTTTTGTGATTAAATACTATTTAAAGAATTGGAACCGGAGACATCGATGTTCTACGGCTAATGCTATTACCACAGGACCAAACCCCTTGTTTATCAAAAAGCTATCTAATTTTTATTATTTAATTTTTAGAAGTAATGTGTTTTGATAATCTAAGTGCTGAATATCAAAAGTACATACTTGCCACATCTGAAATTGTTGAACCACGTACTTATAAAGAAGCTATAAAAGATCCTCGTTGGGTTGAGGCTTGTAATACTGAATTGGCAGCCCTAGACAGAACCAAAACTTGGACTGTTGTTGAACTTCCGCCTGGAAAAATTCCTATTGGTAACATGTGGGTGTTCAAAATAAAGTTTCTTGCTTCGGGTGCCATCGAACGTTTTAGATCTCGCATAGTGGCTAAGGGTTATACTCAAACCCCAGGTTTAGATTACTTAGACACCTTTGCTCCGGTTGTGAAACATACTACAGTTCGTGTAGTTCTTTCATTAGCCGCTATTAATGGTTGGTTCTTGCATCAATTAGATGTTAATACAGCTTTTCTTCATGGTGATTTAGATGAAGTATACATGAAAATTCCACCAGGTTTGGTTGTTCCTTCTCACTTTAAAAATCCCGTTTGTCGTCTTAATAAATCACTTTATGGTTTAAAACAAGCTAGTCGTCAATGGAATATCAAATTAACATCATTTCTTACTTCTGCTGGTTACAAACAGTCGAAAGCAGATTATTCTATGTTTGTTAGAAGTGTAGATTCTTCGTTCACTGTTGCATTAGTGTATGTCGATGACATTATTTTAGCTGGAAATGACTTGAATGCTATCTTTGACATTAAACTCAAACTTAATCAGACTTTCACTATTAAGGACTTAGGTGAATTGAAGTACTTTCTTGGTCTTGAGATTGCTAGATCTTCTAAAGGAATTATGCTGTGTCAACGCAAATTTGCTTTGGATCTCTTAACAGACACTGGATTTTTGAGTGCAGAACCGGCTGATTCACCTACTGTTCCTGGTCCTAAGCTGTCTGCTAAATCGGGTAATCTCCTTCCTGACCCTTCCTCTTACAAGAGATTAATTGGTCGACTTTTATACCTGTGTAATACACGACCAGACCTTGCATATGCAGTACACCAGTTGAGTCAGTTTACACATTCTCCTACTGATGTGCATATGCAAGCAGCAGAACGCATTCTCCGTTACTTAAAGGGTACTGTTGGTCAAGGATTACTATTTTCTAGTGATTCTAAAGTGCTTTTACAGGCCTTTTGTGACAGTGACTGGGCTGGTTACCCAGACACTCGTAGATCAACTACTGGTTTCTGCGTTTTGCTTGGTAATTCTCTTATTAGTTGGCGTTCGAAAAAGCAAAAGACTGTATCTCGTTCTTCTGCAGAAGCCGAGTACAGGTCTATGGCTAGTTTAACTTGTGAATTGATATGGTTGAGATACATTCTTCATGATTTGCATGTTGATTTAGCTGCTGCCACTCCTGTCTGCTGTGACTGCATGTCTGCTATTAAATTGGCTGACAATCCTATTAATCATGAACGTACTAAGCACATAGAAATTGATTGCCGTGTTATTAGAGATCAAATTCTAAATGGTGTTATTAAGGTTCTACATGTCTCTTCAGCCAATCAATTGGCAGATATGTTCACCAAATCCCTTCCAGTTGCTGTGTTTCAGTTTTTGCAGAACAAGCTGGGACGTTTGGACATATACGCGCCAGCTTGCGGGGGGGAGTTGTCCGAGGAAGATAAATCCGAGGACTGATTTGTAATGAATGTATAGTTATAGGATTGATTTGTAATATTTGTTTATTTGTTTGTTTTCATAGAACTTAGTAGATCTATATATATGTAAATGTAACAAGGATATTGTAAGTTTCCATTTGATGAAATAAAAGTAAGCCAGGTGGCGTTTTCTGTTTTACAAGCAAACAGAGAGAGAGGAAAGGTTGTCCTGGGAAAGAGAGAGGAAGGGAAAAGCAAAGGTCACAATTGGAAAGGGGGCAAAAAAACGCGTCAAAGCAGATTATCTGCCCCCACCCAAGTATTTTAGATTGACCCATAACGAGTCAATTACAATTACCCCATGTCAAAATGTTTCGTTTTGTTTTTTGGTGCCAAATGAGTCAATTTGGTCCAATTGTCTCATTTTGAGTCAATTGGGACAGATTGACCCATCAGAATGTGTCATCCAAACCACCCATAAGTACTATTTAAAGAATTGGAACCGGAGATATCGATGTTCTAGCTATTACCACCGAACCAAACCCTTGTTTATCAAAAGCTTTCTAATTTTTATTATTTATTTTTTAGAATTTTTTTTATTAAACTAGCAATTCTGAAAAGAAAATGCATGTAATAAATGAACCTAACAAGGGCTGTCTGTTCCAACCGCAAAAAAGAAAGAAAAAACAACGGTTGTCCTGTACTATATACTGTCCCCTCCCACACTCTATTATTGTTTGTTTATTTATTTTGTTCCAACTAGAAAAGCAAAGCCACATCTGTTTCTTTTCTTTCTTATATATTCTAATCAAAACCAGAACAAGTCTCGATGGTCATGGGGATGCCTTACAATTGTAGGGGAAGCAGTGCCCCTTCTCTGCCTCCCCACTGCCCTCCCAGAGGGCACTTACCATGAAGAAGAAAGCAAATCGGTACTGCACTTTGATACCTTTGTTTATTGCTGTTTGTTGTATCAGAATTCAGAATGGTCATGTGGGATAATAGATGTTATGGGACTTCATGGAATGTGTAAAGTTTAGATGTTAAATAATTGTGTTGATGGGTTGTCCAACTCATAACTCAGATGCCAGAGGGAAGAAAATAACGAGAGAGAGAGAGAGAGAGAGAAATCCGACCCGGTTCGATTTTGTTTCGAATTCGGTGGGAGCACGAAGAATGGTTAACACGTAAATACGATAATGTCATGTGGTTTTGATAGGCAAAGAAAATTAATAACACGATAATGACTTGTGGAGCTACTATTTACTTGTTTTTTTTACATGTAGTTATTGTAGTAACACATTAGACAAATCAGCAAAAGAAAACCCATTAGACAAATCTCATATCGCCAAATTACGGGAGAAATTTATGATTCATAAAAGAACATCCAACGTTAACTGATATGGTGCAATTTGGTACGAAACCAATGAAATTTGGTAAGAATTATAAAATTAAATATACTTAGTGTAACAATACAATGATGAATGACTTCTCAAAATGTCACTATAATGCACCCCAAAAGAGAACCGTAACGAATGACCACATAACATACAATATCTTCGTATACAAATCTCGATGTAACTATTGCCATGGTAAATTTCCTATCTCCTGAAAAGAAAAGAAAAAAGGAAATAAAAATGGAGAGATATGGGCCAGATACTGATAAACATAAAACACTCCCATCCATCCTCTGCTGTGGACTGTGGTATACTTCTTCTTCTGCTTCTTCTGTTCACTTGTTTAAGGTGGGGGAAGAGGGCAGAAACATGCATACGATGATTTTTAATCAATTAAAAAGCTAAAATAAACAAAGACCATTTCTTTTTCTAAACTGATTGGTTTGTTTGTTTGTTTGGGAGTGTGTCATTTTCTTCCTCTCTTTCTCCCTCTATCTCTTTATCCTGTTATCTCCTTCCCTGTGTGTAGCTGTTGAACATTTGCAGTGAGTGACCACTCTGGGTTTTGAGAAGCCAGTTGAAAAAAGATATCCTTTTTAAAAAGGTGATGTTACTGTTCAAAGTGTTCATTTTCGCTTTCCTCCATCCTTTTTTTTTAACTTAAAAAGGCAAAACACACTGTTTAGCACCACAACCTCTGACTTCCTTTTTAATGTTGATTCATCCATTCATTCATTCAAACACAAAATCCTCACTAATTATTGCTTCACAGCTTAGAGCTTCTGTTGGTGCTCTTGCTCTTGCTTGACCATAATTGTCTGCCATCTCTCTCTCTCTCTACATATTTATGGCTCCTTATAATTGTACTTTCACCTACTGCTCCTTTTAGTAGTAAAAACTAGGAGAGAGTAAAGAGTACCATACTTGCCCACTTGCTGGCTTGCTCTCTCTTCTCTCTGTGGTGTGGATATGTGTTTCTCTTCATCTTTTCAAGTTTTTTCAACCCTTTTGTTGCTGCAACCAGCACTGAAATTCAGCATCATCTGAGGCTACTTCCCTTCTTTTGCTCCCTCCCCAAAAGTGGATTTCTTTCTGGTTTCCTCCATGAAGCAAACTTCTCCTCTTTCAGGCTCAGATTCCATTATCACTCCCGTGTAAGCTACTTTACTTTTCTTCCAAAACCCAGTATTTTCTTCCTTCTCTCTCTTTTCTTGGTGTAATTTGGTATTGTACTTTGTTGGGTTTGTGATGAATCTCTGTGTTTCTGAGTCCATGGTTGATGAGATTTATGTTGATGTCCCCAAAATTTGTTCAATTCTGACATCTTATCCTGTTCCCTATGTTGTGTTTTCACTTTTCTGATGTGGGTTCTCTTTTTTTCACCTTGGCCATTCTTTTGTGCTTCCCCTTTGAAATTGAAGTGCAAAAGCTAACCCTCCCTCTTTGTTCTATTCGCTTAGACTTTGTCAGATTCATTAACCTTTTCTGCTGAAACAGTGTACTGGTAGTACAGCAAAAAGCTGGTTGAGTTTGTTATATCTTTCAAAAGCTTTGACCTTTATCAGCCAAGTAATGAATGATGTGGTTGAGGTTCTTTGTGCTTGTTGTAGTTGGAGATTCAGTGGCTGTTTGAGTACTGTCTTGTGTAGTGGCTCATCTATACTCAACCTCTGGTCTGACATCACCAATGGTCTATCATCTGGGGTTGATAGAATTGGACTAGTTCTCATTCTTAAGAGGATGTTGTGGATCAATGATTAGTTTGGCTACTAGGAATTTTGGTCATCTCTACTGGTTAGTGGTCTGAGTTGGTATTTTCTGTTGGTTGAGTTGGTTTAAGATCTTGCTAAGCAAAAAGCAATGAGGTTAGGGGCTCACCATAAGCAACTCGTCTTTGATTGGTTGGCGTAGTAGATGGACAACTTCCCTGCAAGTAGTAAATTCAATTCTATGCTGTCTCCAATTACTATATAGTTCCAGCCACAAATGACATCAATCTGATGTCTTTGATCTTCTGAGTTCTCTACCTCTAGTTTCGGCTGTATTTTAGATTTCTCATATATCGGTTTGATAAGAGATCTTCAACAAGCATTGTATTGGTAGTGGTGGTGTAAACGATGGATCGGCTGCACTAGATAGAGGATAGGAGTGATATACTCGAACATAGTTGATATAGCTGGCTGTAAGTTGGTGCAGAACCAGTTGGACGGATAAGGATGGAGAACATGTTTAGCAATGGAGAATGTTTTATTAAGAGAAAAATCTTAACCAAAGGTGAGCATTGTAGCATTGTATATGCCTGTGAAGTCCAGAGTGTTGCAGTTGATCTTAGGACTCTGGCTATTTCGTCGCATGATCTCTTACCTCTAGGTCACCATTAGCTCTCTTAAGTCATAATGACGTCTTCCCTTTGTTGCTAACTGCTTGTTCAAGGTTTCTTCCCAAGACTGATCTTTCTGCTATCTGATATAGATACAGACAGTGCATTAAGATTCAAAAGAGGCGAGTTAAATGTAGTTTCACTTTGAAGAACCTACAGCTAGGGCACACTATGTAGTGTCTCCTTTATCGAATCATCCTATGTGTGCGATGTTCAACGTTTCAACTTGTGGATCACTAGCCTGATGTTTCTGTAATGTGACCATCTCTAGTAGAGGAGATGAGCTGAAGCTCAATGGTCACTTCTTTTATGGAACTGATTGACCAAACATCATTTATGATATAGATGGTAGACATGCTTCTTTAAGGGTGTGCAGTGCAGATGATTTGGTACTTCCATTGCTCGTTATGTATTTCGTATCCGTGATGGAAGGCTCAGTGCTTAGACTACAGCCATGCGCTTTGGAACCATATCAGCTGAGGTTTTTCCCCATTCACAATATAACTGATGACATTTCATTCTCTAATTGCAGCTGAGAGTGGCCTAATCACTGTTGCCTTGAATTCCCATTGTTGAGAAAGCATTGAAGACACCATTTTCGACGCAGTCATGCAGCAACATCCCAACTCCAAGTTCGACTCGGAGTATGAGTCTGATCATGAAAGCAGCAGCCAAGTAGCATCATCCAACTTATCTGCTAGCGAACCTTCACCGGACCCCTCCAAGGACACCACCACCCTCTCATCCTCCTCGCTCCCCCTCGACCTCGACCTCTCCCTTCAACTGCAGCACTCCCAAGACCCCGCCCACCTCAAACCACCAGCACCAGAACACGACCCGGGCAATGCATCCGCCCCTGCTACACCACCACCAGGAGCCGGCGTGCAGCCACGAGTCTTCTCCTGCAACTACTGCAGGCGCAAGTTCTACAGCTCGCAGGCGCTGGGCGGCCACCAGAACGCCCACAAGCGCGAGCGAACCATAGCGAAGCGAGCAATGCGGATGGGGATCTTCTCCGACAGGTACAACAGCTTGGCCTCCCTGCCCTTACACGGAGTCTCCGCATTTCGCAACCTCGGCATCAAGGCTCATTCCGCTACTCATCACAGCAACATGATCCCCTTCCAGAGGATGCCACCGCAGGCACATCCGCATCCCCAGCAGCAGGCACCACTGTCGGCGGCTCGATTCGAGCAGAGCTACTACGGGGTGCCCGTGTTGACGACGACAGAGGAAGATGATGTAGGAATGTATTGGCCGGGGAGCTTCCGGCAGGTTGTTGCCACCGGTGGAGCAGTCAGCATCCCCGCCGCTAATAATCACAACAACAATAATCAGTTCGGTCATTTACAGTATGCTGAGAGGCGGCTAAACAGCAATAGCACTAGTAGTTTTGTTGCCATGGAAGTCCCGGATTCTTCATCTCTGGCGCCGGATCTAACGCTCAAGCTATGAACTTGGATCTCGATTTTGTTTGGGTTAGATGTAAGTTGATTGTTGTGCGATCTCTTTGTACAGTGAGATACCCAATTTGCTTCGTCTTTGTATCAGAATGAGTTTGCTTCACTAGAAAACTGTAATTGCTTGTTTCTGGTTAACTGATTTCATTTTTGTTCTTGGTGAGCTTAGTGACCATTTTCATCCACATAATTTATCTACAAACAGCAACCACATTAACAAAAAAAAATCAACACTATATTTTCTATTTAGTAATAAATTTTGTATAAAAGTGGGGCAAAAAGAGATAATGAAAGTATAAACCTATATATGTGGTAATAGTGAATTTTTTTTTTCTTCTCGATTAAAAAAAAGGAGCTCGACGAGGTATGCCTTTTCTCTGATGCGACGGTTTCCTAAAACTTTTCGCCGTCGAACACGGTGACACCGTCAACCATTCCGTCCCCCTTTCTTCTTCTTCTCCAGTTTCTTCCTCGTCACCATCCGCCTCCCACATTGTTTCCGTTAATGCCGACCCTTCCTCGTTTTCGTTATTGCTTGTTTCCTTGTACGGCGTTATGGGAACTCCGTCCTCCAGCAACGACGGTTCCGTTTTGGCTTCTAGTATGCAGGATGAACCTGCTGCTGACACCTGTACAGTTTATAATTGAACAAACCCCACATTAATGTGATTACTATTCCTTTGTTTTGGCTAAAAAAAGAAGTTCACTTACAAAAAGATTAGGTAAGACCACAATTAGATAGGTAACTGATAAGAGCATATTACAGAAATTCCATTTTAGTAAATCTTACTTAAAAGAGACTTAATGGAGTTAATGAATTTGGGAGATAGATTCTATTCTCCAAAACCTAATCTTTTGCAAATTTGAACAAGACCACAAGTAGGAAGGAAATTGATTGAGCTTACCCTACAGATTGCACTATGATAATCTTACATTAACCTAATTTTTTCAAGCTCTATAAACTGATGAATGATATAATAATAATTTATTAATATAAATCGAATACTCTCAATTGAACATAAAAACTCGTCTCGATTATACTAATTTGATATCTACAATGCCTCTTTCAGAAAATATTAAAATTTAATAATAGAAGCAATATAAAATTAGCAAAACACATGCATTGATAAAACTATGTATAATTACGGATAACATTTCAGATAAATACAAAAATTACAGGATCTAAAAAAACTCAACACTTTTCATAGATCATAGGCGTCAATTATCATCAAAGCAAAATGAAATAATTATGATATATCAGACCACTCGATTGTGCCTAACTCATCATGTTTATCCTTCTAATTAAAACATCATGATGATAAGTACAATTTATAGGATCATGCTGTTGAACGAAATCCTTCATGATTATAATTGCAACACCACAAATCTTAATTAAGTACTTATCAGCAACCAATTTTTAGAAGGACGCCATATAGTAATAAAATTAGAAGGATATCCATGAATTAGGTCTAATCCCATATATCACCTAAATCGTTTGTGCAACAAACTCTGCATCAAGATTTTTTTTAAAAAAATTATCATAAATATTCAACAAAATAGTATCAACTCCACAAATTTCAAAAACTAACCGAAAAACATCGATGTAAACGGTAAAACTCGCGGTAAAACGCAATCATATTACAATTTGCTAAACATTATCACTCACAACGCATTTGAATAGATTCGAAATTCGACCGGGAATCCCAATACATCCCACGTTAATCTATGATGTGATTCTCCAAGTACTTGGGTTACAAGTATCTAAACTTGCATTCCAAGAAACAGACCCAATTAGACCAAAGGAATGTAAAGAGAAGAACAGATTGGAGCTAGCAGATTAAGGGAGTGAAAAATGTCTTTTACCTTACAGGCAATGGAGCAGTAACGATTGGGCAAGTCCTGTAGGTATCTTCGACAAACGACACAAGCTGCTCCAAATTTGGCCTTGGTTGATGGCTTTGCATCTTTCTGCACCGGCCGAGGATTCAGATGCACCGCCTTCTCCCCGTTTATCTTGTAAGTCTGCCCCATCAACACCCAATTTCAGTTCATTAGCAAGAAAATCAGATTCAACACTATACTCTGTTTTTCTCCACAAATCAAGGGACAAAGAGAAAGGAAAAGGAGAAATTGGACTGTTTTCCACACAACCAAACAACCAAACCTACCAACCAGAAGTCAAAAATCAACAACCCGGGTGGTGGGGGGGAGAAAGGAAAAAGAAAGGAAAAGGGTCCAATTTTGACTGTCGAGTAGGGACCAATCAGCACAGTACGAACCCAAACAAAAACCCACAAATCCGCCATTGATTGATTGGGTTGGAGGGTGTAAAGGAGAAAACCGATGTTATTAACTTATTATCATACCTGGATTCGAGAACAGTCGAAGTGCTTCTGAATATCGAGGAGGCGAACCACGTCCTGATAAACGTACTTGCAAATCTGGAGATGGCGGTGGAAGCAGGAATGGGATTTCAAACAATGCCTGCAGAACCCGGCGTTGCAATCCAAACAGAAGACGTTCCTCTCGTTCTTCCGCAGCTCCCTGTGAGTACCGCAGCCGCCGAAGAACTCGCTGTTGAGTAGGGTTTCCACCCACCGCCGCTCTTCTTTCTCTATGTACATCTCGCATCCTACCTACCCACAATCCAAAAATGGGAACAACAAAACAAACCCATCATCAAAATCGATCGTTAGAAAACAACCCAGTTCGCAGAATATCGAAACAGAGCTTCAGAACGGAGTAATTTCACAATTCGTGAAGGTTTTCGGGTACCATTTTCGCTGCTGCGAAGTGGGTCTGAAGAGCTCTCGCGGGTCTTCGTGGTTCCAATGGCGGAATTTGGGGGAGAGAAATTTTTTTGAGGGAATGTGAAAGGATCAGGGAAAGGGGGGAACAATGTGAATTGATGAGTCGGGGCTTCCCTTTTTGTTTGTTAATTGTGGTGAATCATAAATGGTGGTGGAAGGGGAATTATATTAGGGAGGGGAAAAAAGAAGATAAAAAGGAAACGAAAATCTCTGTGTGCTGCGGAAAATTGATACAGAGAGAGAGAGAGGGGAAAGGGGAAGCAAGTAAGGGAAGTGGGGTTGCAGACGGCGGGAACTGGGGGATGGATATTCACCCATCTCCCTCTCTTTTTTTTTGCCCACTACGGCTTGTTCATTGGTGGAGGAAAAAGAATATTAAAATGGAAAATGGTAATTAGGGGGGAGATAAGTGAATAATTGATCTTCATATCGAGAGGGTGAAAAGAAGATAAAAGAGGAGAGTCGTAAAAAGATGGAGGTTTGTTAGAGGTTTGATTTGATTTCAAATAAAAATATTCTTTCCTTTTTGCATAAGGGGGAAAATTCCCTTTCTCCATAAAAGCGATTTGTTAGGGATTCTATAATGTCCTGTTCAAATTCCGTAAGATTTTACTGAAAACTAGAATTTCGAAAATATTCTAAATGTATTGGATATTTCCTGCCTTTTTTTAATTAGTTAAGAAACTCTTCCTAACAGGATATGTGATATGTGTATGGTGAATTTCAACAAGTGGGTCGATCTTTTTTTTATCCCGACGCGGTGGGAAAGCGGGTCGACACGCTGCAAGGTTATCGGGTTGGAGATCGTATAATGATGTTTTTCTTTTTGGTTAAATGTGTCTATTTTCGGTTTTCCTCTACGTCTAACCCTATCTTTGGAATTCTAAGTTGAACATTTGAACATTGATGTTATATAAGTGTGTGAATTTTCACTATATGTTTGATCCAAGTACAAAATGTTATTTTAGTACAATGTTATATGTTATTACTCATATGTTAAATGGGATTTGATGTAATTTGTAAACAGTGTAATGAATTTTTCATATATCCGTGCCGAAGCGATCAGAACATTAACCCTCACAACCCACTTGTTCGACCGGTCCCTAAACTGGGCTGACAACTTATTCCCAAGTTAGTGTGATTTAGAGAAAATGGTTGACTAGATGGCACAAATACCTTGATGCAACTGGAGTCCACCATTACAGAGGAAAATAATGATCGACCGTTTGCTTCCACAGGTCTGTCAAATTCAAAGAAATCCCATATCTCAACAAGACAGTTGACTTTGTATTATATGACATATTGAGATTGATCGGAGAAGAAGACGCTAACCTACAATCTAGTGCTTGTTTGACTGCCATGTTGTGTCGATCGACTTGTTTTAGTAAAGAGAATGTGGTATAGTAGTTGAAATCTCACAAACCACATTATAAGGTTGATAATTAAATACATAAATATAGTTCAACAATAACAAATAATCTACAAATATCAATCCACAACAACAAAAACATAATAAACACCCTTTAGTTCACAAACCATCCCATTTATAATCACTTGAAGTGTGCTCATCTGATTAGATATATATCTTATATAATTAATTAATCATACAATTCATGCAATACCATATATTGTTGAGGGTAAGAGGATAAATGTTGAGTGGGATTCTCTAGTTGTGTCAATGTTTTCTTTTGTAATTGTACAGTTTCGTCTGTTTAATGAAAGTGATTGATCGTTTTCTCCAAATCGTAATAAAGTTGTAACCATAAATATAAAAGTAAACATTATTCAATTTAAAAAACATTTGTTACCAAGACATGAAAATATCATAACCCATAATAGAAAATAAATCACACCGTATGGTTTAGGAGCACTTTTAATTTTCGTGACATTCATGCTCCATTTTCCATGTATGCTAATTACCTTTTACACTTCGAGATACATAAATGGAAGTAGGAACTGACTAATTCATGGCAGTAAAAAGAAAAACTACTGACTTTGTGGAAAACCATGAAATTCACAGCTATCATGGAAAATAGATTCTTGAAAAATGCATGAATCCTTCTCTATGACCAAGAGATACATTATACGGAGATTATCATGTTAGTAAGTGGTATAGGATGCATAATTTAACTTTTTCCCATTAAATCAAGTTATTGGAGCAAGGTTGTCAACCCGTGGCCCTGAC